TATTTTTATTATTTTTATTTTTTTGTTAATTCTCATCCAAGATATTTTTTTCCATTGATTTTCAGAGAAACTGGAAGGGAGGGAGGGAGAGAGAGAAAGAGAAAGAGAAATCTATGTGAGATTTCTCAAATGCATCCTGACTGGGGCTGGGGATTAAACCTGCAACCCAGATACGTACCCTTGACTGGGAATCGAACCCATGACCCTTTGATGCATGGGCCAATGCTCTAACCACTGAGAACACTGGCCAGGGCTGTTGTTCTATGGCTCACAAGCTAAGAATGGTTTTTATGTTTTTAAATGGTTGAACAATATGAAAAGATGCATAACATTTTGTGACATGAGCAAAATTATATAAAATTTAAAATTATAAAAACATAGCCACGCCTATTCATATACAAAATTTGCACCATTTTCGACTGAGACCATGGCCCACGTAGCTCAAGTGTTTGCTGTCTGTCCCTTTACAGAAAAAGCTTGTTGACTTGTTCTGGAAGGTGATCACTTGCCCATTTTTGGCATTGCGAGTATCTTCTCCCTGTCTGTATTCTTCTCTCAACTGACTATGAGTCTTTTGGAGGTTGTTTGTTTGTTTGTTTTTTTATCAAATAGAAATCTTTATGTCAGATATAGTTAAACCCATCGTCTTTAAATTTTTTCCATTATTATTATTGATGTATTTGACATGTAACATTGTATTTGTTTTAGGTGTACATGAATGATTTGAGGTAGGCATATATTACAAAATGATTACCACAGTAGATTTTGTTAACATCTGTCACCTTAGAGAGTTAGGTTTTTTTCTTGTGATGAGAATGTTTAAGATCTACTCTCAGCAGCTTTTAAATATACAATACAGTAGCATGAGCTACAGTCACCATGCTCTACATTCCATCCCGAGATTTATTTATCTTATAACTGGAAGTTTGTACCTTTTGACCCCTTTCACCCATTCCCCACCCCCATCCCTGGCAACTACTAACCTGCTCTTTATCTATGAGTTCAGTGTTTTTTAGATCCCACATATAAATGAGATCACCTTGTATTTTCATATATAGTTTGTGCTTTGAAGAATTTTTTTTAAGAGAGAGAGAGTGGGAGGGTGTGGGAGAGACAGAGAGAAATATCAATGTGCGAGAGACACATCAATTGGTTGCCTCCCCCAGGGGCCCAGCTGGGACTGAGCCTGCAACCAAAGTACGTGCCCTTGACAGGAATCGAACCAACAACCCTTCAGTCCAAGAGCCAATGCTTTAATCACTGAGCCAAGCGAGCCATGCGAGGAATTTTTTTTTTTTTTTTTGTATTTGAAGTTTTATTGGTTGAGGTTTTTTATTTTTTCAATTACAGTTGTCATTCAATATATTGGTTTCAGGTGTACCACATAGTGGTTAGACACTGAGGAATTTTTAAAGGAATCTTTTCCCTTCCTGAGACCCCCAATATCCTACATTTTCTTCCTGTGGCTTTGTAATTGGACCTTCATGTTATTCCTTCAGAGTTTACTCTCTGTGTCAGGTCTGAGGTGGGTTCCAGCCGGACTTTTTCCTGGCCAGAGCAAGCTGCTTTCCCCAGCACCACTCCACAGAGCCCCCCCTCCACCACTGGTTTGTGGAAACCCCCCTGTCTGACCCCAGCTCCCCAAGAGGGGGCTGTGCTGGGCTCTCTCTCTCCTGTTCCCTTGGCCCATCTCTTCACGTAACAAAACCCCACTGTTTGGACTGTTCTGGCTTTGGCATATGTTTTACTCTCTCCTAGGCTGGGTTCTTCGTCTCTGCCCATTTTTGTAAAATTATCTTAGCTGGTCATGGACTTTAGTTTTTCCATATAAATTTTGGTATCAGTTTTCCCCACCCCCCAGTGAAATAACAGCAATAAATACCATTTTTATTGCTGTTATTTTAGCATTGCAGTATCTGACCTTGACCTCCTCCCATGAAAGGAGCCACCCAAGCTTTTGGAAGCAGGGCCTGCTTTTCCCTGTGGCAAAATGGGCCATGGTGCTACTCCATTTTTTTTTCCCATTTTTTGAAAAATTGTGGTGAAATATATATAACAAAGTTTACCATGGCAACCATTTTTTTAAGTGTCCATATACTACGGTATTCAGCAGTCACATTTTAAAAAAAAAATGTTTTTATTGATTCCAGAGAGAGAGAGGAATGGAGAGGGAAAGAGAGAGAGAAATATTGATTGGCTGCCTCCGCATACCCCCCACTGGGGAAGGAGCCCACAGCCCTGGCGTGTGCCCAAACCAGGAAGAGAAGCGGAGACCTCTTGGTGCACCTGGCGATGCTCCACCCACTGAGCCACACCGGCCAGGGCGGCAGTCATATTTTTTGTGCAGCCATCTCCACCAACCATCCCCAGAATTTTGCCATCTTCCCCAACTGGAACTCAGTCTCCATTCAACACTAACCTCCCGTCCACCAGCCCTTGGCACCCACCATTTACTTCTTGTCTATGAATTTGACTCCTCTAGGGACCTCCTGTAAGTAGATTCACAGTGTTTATCCTCCTGTGCCTAGCTTATTTCACGCAGCAGCATATTGCTTTACCTGACTTTTTGACCCTCCCAGGTGTTTAAATAAGCGTGTGAGTTTGGGGCACACACGGAGATTGCAAGCTGGCCATCTGCCTCCTGACACATTTCACGTGGCCACATAATGTTTTTGTTTTATGAGAATGTATTGACAGGGTTTAAAAAAAAAAAAAAAATCAGGAGCCCTGGCCAGGTAGCTCATTGGCTAGAATGTTATCCCAATACACCAAGGTTGCAGGTTCGATCTCCGATCAGGGTACATACAAGTATCAACCAAGAAATGCATAAGGGAGTGGAGTGACAAATCACTGTTTCTCTCTCTCCCCTTCTCCCTCTCTTTTCCTTTCTCTTTCTAAAATCACTTTTGAAAAAAATAAGATTCTCATAAAAACCAGCTCCGGAACTGGCCTGGCCCAAGCCACGCCCTGGGCTGCGGTGCTGTCTGCGTGCTCATGGCCAAGTGTCTCATCTTTTCTATGTTCTTGTCCCAAGTATTTACTCCCTGTTCTCAACTCAAGTTGAATGTTGCCCAAGGACTTGAGGAAGTAGTCAGTGTGTATGTCAAAACAGTTTTAACTGTTAAAGAGAATTAAAATGCCCAGCCGGCATGGCTCAGCGGTTCAGCTATGACCTGTGAGCTAGGAGGTCGCAGTTCTATTCCCGGTCAGGGCACATGCCCGGATTGCGGGCTCGATCCCCAGTTGGGGGGCGTGCAGGAGGCAGCTGATCAGTGATTCTCATCATTGACGTTTCTATCTCTCGCTCCCTCTCCTTCCTTTTCTGAAATCAATACAAATATATTTTTTAAAGAGAATTAAAATGAATTGGTCTGTGGAGCCAGTGGCAGGAAGGGGACGTCCTGAGGAAGTGGTGACATGGAAGCCACACGTGGCCTGAGGGGGGTGAACCTTTCCAAGACTTGGACACACACCACAGTGGTGACTGAACCTCTGTTCCTCGTTCCAAGCTCTGCTCTGGGGCTGGCGCTTCCTGTCCGTTCTATTCCAAGTGGACAGTGGGCACCCTCCGGGCCTGATGCCCACAAAGTCAGCTTTGTCCTTAGGCCGAATGAGGTGGGTTTTCTGAACAATTGTGATAAGATGCGTATAACATGAAATTTTCCATTTTAATAATTTTAAAGTGTCCAGTTCAGTGGTGTTGTACGGCCATCACCACCACCCACCTCCAAACGTTTTTATCTTCCCAAACTCAAACTCTGCCTGGGTGGGGTTTTAATTGTCATTTTCCAATAGTTCAATTGTTTCTTTTTTCTTTTTATTAAAGTAACGCCTGCTTAAAATTCAGCAAAGAAAGCAAAAAGGAAGCCGGATACAAATGCCATTTATAGCACAATCCTACTTTTGTTATTTAAAAAAAAAAAAAAGCCCTAGCTGGTTTGGCTCCGTGGATAGAGCATCCACCAGCGGACCGAAGGGTCCTGGGTTCGATTCCGATCAAGGGCATGTACCTTGGCTGCAGGCTCCTTCCCATCCCGGGCCCTGGTTGGTGCTCGTGCAAGAGGCAACCAATTGATGTTTCTCTCACATCAATATTTCTCTCTATCTTTCCCTCTCTCTTCCTCTCTCTCAAAAAATATCAATGGAAAAATATCTTTGGGTGAGGATTAAAAAGAAAAGAAATCAAAGTCCTGGCTGGTGTGGCTCAGTTGGTCGTGTACGGAAAGGTTGCAGGTTCAATTCCTAGTCACGGCACATGCCCAGGTTGCAGGCTTGATCCCCAGTCGGGGGCATGCCTTAGGCAGCTGGTCCATGTTCTCTCTTGCATCCATGATTCTCTCCCTCTCTCTTCCTCTCTCTCTAAAAAGAAGAAAAATCCATAAAAAATAATTCAAAAAATCTTTTTTAAAAGAAAGGACAGACTTTAAAAATCATAATATGAAGTTTTATCAAAATATAGCTTACGATTCTCTTGAGTTAACAGATGCTTCTTGAGCCCTCCCAAGTGCAGACATTGTTTAGGCTCTTCATCTCACCTTACTGTCTTCAGTCCACATCAGCTGCCAGGAGGTAGGAATGCCAATCTCCGAGGCACTGAGAGGTTACGTGATTGCCCGGGGTCACATACTTGCTCCTGCAAAGACGTGATTCCCTGCAGTGACCACCACACTCCGCTGTGATCAGATCTCGTTTCCAGAGAACACTTCATATGTCGCTGGAGATTGGAGAGGGGTCATGAGCCAGCATCGTGTGGTCACAGGATCTTCCCGTCCCTGCCAGTGTGGGCAGGCAGCCAATCAGGGCTGGAATTGGATTCTTCTGCCCCATCACTGAGCAGCCCTCTGGGGCCTCAGTTTGCTCACCCGCAATAATCCACCTTCTGCGGGCTGGGCGGGGTTGATGCAAGAGTCAGTCCTCAGAGCCCCTGCCCGGGGGGCAGTGTTACTGCTGTTAGTGCTTTGCTGTTTCCCACAGCGAGTGCCTCTTTCCTGCCCCTCCAGGCCTTCCTCAGGCTTCTGCAGAGCCATCCTCGTCACCCCCAGGGTCCGCCGCAGCCTCCTTGGCACAGCCCAAGAACACAGGCCGGGTGCCCATGTGCAACACCAGCACCAGGGAGCCCCCCAGGCAAGCAGCCCCATGTGAATCAGAGGAGGCCGGAGGTGCAGGCAAGTGGGGGTGGCCACCCAGACGGACAGAACGCTGGAGGCCTGGGCATGGGGTCTGGCTGTGGGAGACCCTTGTGACACCAGCCCTCCCCCCAGGTGGGCCCCAGGCGGGCATACGGTCCATCATGAAGCGGAAAGAGGAGCCTGCAGACCCCGCGACCCACCAGAGGAGCCTCCAGTTTGTGGGGGTCAATGGCGGGTGAGAGAAGCCCCCACCCGCTCCCCAGCTTCCACACCCCTGTTTGTTCCAAGAATGTGCCAAGTACCTGGCCTAAGCCCCTCACTTTGATTCACTCATTTAACTAAAGCACAATAGACAGGTGAGGAAACTGAGGCACAGTGAGGCGAGTGCCTGGCTGGAGCTCACGTGGCGACTAGGAGCCTGCCTTGGTGTCTGGCTCCAGAGCCCATGCCGTAGCCACTGGACTGCGAAAGGTGCCAGATTAAGCTCCCTGCCTGGACGAAGCAGGAATGCGGGGGACACTCAGGCAGTGTGGGATCTTGGGAGGCACGCTGCCCCAGGAACGTCCCTGAAGGGTGGGCGCATGTGCTGCGGCACAGCAGGAGCTGGCAGAGCGAAGAGAGGGGTGAGAGGGCTCTCCTGGTGGAGGGCACAGCCTGGGCCCAGGCCCAGAGGTGAGAGGAAGCAGAGTGACATGAGAGATGGGAGGCATCAGAGCGATGGTCAGGGACAGTTTGAAACCTCAAACACCAGGAACTTAGACTTTGTCCAGAGGAAGCAAGAATCACGAGGGACCCACCCGAGGTAGAGCAAGGGTCTGAACCAGGAGCAAAGCGCGTGAGAGGTACCGAAGGGTAGAAGGGGAAAGCGTGTCCCTCCCTGGCCCCCCCAGCGCGATCCCAGTCACAACTAGTGTCTGTTGAGGTTCACTGTGTGCCAAGTGCTGTGAGCCACATTCCTGCAGACCTGTTAGGTCCATACTGACATCATCCTCGTTTAACAGATGGGGGAACCGAGGTCCAGTAATCAGAGCCCCAACCCGCCCCCCCCAACTCCCTGTCCCATCTGCAGCATCTCTCCCTCCCCGCCCACCCCTCTTCCCCAGGTGTGAGTCCTCATCTGAGGACTCCAGCACAGCAGAGAACTTCTCAGACAATGAGAGCACAGAGAACGAGACCCCGGAGCCTGAGGCGAGGGTGCCACGTGTGGCTGAGGCTCCCCCGCTCAGGCCCACAGGGACAGCCGTGGCCAAGATCAACCAGGAGGAGTGCCAACCAACTCGGGAGTCTCAGCGAGTGCCCACAGCTGAGGGGGCCTCAGGATCAAATGTGGAGGAGATCCGGTCAGTTTTCTGGGTGGGAGGCAGGGCCCGGGTTGTGTGTGGGGTGACCTCCAATTCCACCATCCAAGCCCTTTGAGTGAATATCCCATCAGTCATGCACACCCTAGTCTAAACGAGCAGAGAAGTCCTTTTCTCCCTCTGGGCGTCTTGAAGATCTGGAGGCTTTGAGGAAGGGCCTGATGGGGCAGTTTGGCTGTTGGGTTAGGATTTAGGGGGCAGGTGAAGTCCTTAAGCTACCCACATTTTTGGGACATTTTGCCCCACTTGTCCATCCTGTTTATTTTGTTTTATTCCTTGATGAAAAATCTGACATTAGGAAAAGATTTTCCATCTGCCACTGATTATTTGGAGAAAACTAGCCTGTGTGTTCACTTTCTCTTGGAGTCTGTGTGTTCTCCATGTATGCCCTGTGGGGTATCATATAAAAACTTGTTCCTGGTGAAGGGGGCGTCTGAGGGTCTACCAGTCAGGTGAGCCCTGGCAGGATTGGTGAGTGCCGTGGTGGAGAGCATTGGGGCTCTGTCTGAGCGCCCCAGCCGGACGTGGAAAGTGAGGGAAACCCAGGGGCTGGCTAAACCTCCTCTCTCTCCCCCTCTCTCTCCCCTTCTCCCTCGCAGGATGGAGCTAAGCCCCGACCTCATCTCAGCCTGCCTGGCCCTGGAAAAGTACCTGGACAACCCTAACGCCCTCTCTGAGCGGGAGCTGGTACGCGGTCCCGGGACTGAGAGGGCTCTCCTGCGCCCCCTGGCTTCTCGCCCACAGGGCCTCCCTGTGCCAGCCTCAGAGGAGTGTGCTTGAGTCATGGGCCTTAGAGAGGCCAGGGCGGTGGGGAGGGGCCCAAGGATGGTGGCCCGCTGGCAAAGCCGGCCTCGGTTCCTGGTCCTTGGGGAGCTTGGGGGAGGGGCTGGCATATCTCCCTCCACCGGTTCCACACGTGCCTTGATACCCCGATGGAGATGCTCACAACTTCCTGGGGGCAGACCTGGGATTGCAGTGTCTCCACTTCCCTCTAGGGTCCTTGTCCAGGAGGGGAGACAACACTCCTCCAGGGGCTCGTCTGGGTGGGGTGCCCATGCTCCCCTTTCCAGGCTCTGGTTCAGGACAGGGACATCCACACTCCCTCGGGGCTTAGCCCAGGGGAAGGTGGGCTGCCGCCCGCCCTCATCCCCTCTCCTCTCCGGCTGCAGAAAGTGGCCTACACCACGGTGCTGCAGGAGTGGCTGCGCCTGGCCTGCCGCAGTGACGCCCACCCGGAGCTCGTGCGGCGCCACCTGGTCACGTTCCGGGCCATGTCATCGCGGCTGCTGGACTACGTGGTCAACATTGCCGACAGCAACGGCAACACCGCGCTGCACTACTCCGTGTCCCACGCCAACTTCCCGGTTGTGCGGCAGCTGCTGGACAGCGGTAAGCCTGGCCAGCTGTCACCCCGGTTTGGTGGTCTGGTTGGGGAGACATGGCCCCCCTAGTCTAGTGGGGGAGACACTGCCCTCCCACTCTGGGGGGGAGATGCAGGCCCGCCTGTCGCCTCAGTGTTCTGGAAAGGGCAGCCATGGTCTTCGGGAAAACACATGCCCTCCCCCCATCCACACGGACCCCTGTGTAATGGAGGTCACACCTCTGGAACCCTAGTCTGAGGGGCGGACATGGCTTTGAGTCTGGGGCTTGGAGAGAAGATGTGGTTCCCAGTTCAGCAGGAAAGGGTTTCCTTGCCCTAGTCCGACGGGGAAGACACAGACTCCTAGTCTGATGAAGGCTCCAATCTGATGGAGGAGGCATAGGCCAGTCTGAAGGAGACTGATGTTCAGTCCAGTGAGCAAGACTGATGTTCAGACCAATACTCTCAGCCCTAAATGTGGTGCCAATGTCGGGGGCCCAGGCTGATGGAGGGGTAGAGTGGCTTCAGTCATAAAGGGCGTGGCTGCATTTAGAGGAGCCTCTCCGCAGGGTGTGGGAAGAGACGAACACCCTGGGCAGAATGGGGTTCTCAGTCTGAGAAAAGGGAGGAATCCGGCCACACCTAGATGGCCGGAGGAGGCCATGCCCAGAGCTCATGGTCGAGCAAAACAAGGCTCCAGTCTGATAGCAGAGACTGGCCTGGTCCTCAGGGCCCCTCCCCCGGCCTTGAGGGAGGCCGGCGGGCGTCAGTGGGTCTGAGGGCTCCTGTCCTCCTGCCCCCTCCCCCAGGGGTCTGCCAGGTGGACAAGCAGAACCGGGCTGGCTACAGCCCCATCATGCTCACCGCCCTGGCCGCCCTCAAGACCCAGGATGACATCGAGACGCTCCTGCAGCTCTTCCGGCTTGGAGACGTCAACGCCAAAGCCAGCCAGGTAGGCCCGGGCACTGCAGACCTGGGCAGCCCTTCCCGCCAGCCAGGTAGGCCCGGGGCACTGCAGACCTGGGCAGCTCTTCCCGCCAGCCAGGTAGGCCCGGGGCACTGCGGACCTGGGCAGCCCTTCCCGCCAGCCAGGTAGGCCCGGGGCACTGCGGACCTGGGCAGCCCTTCCCGCCAGCCAGGTAGGCCCGGGCACTGCGGACCTGGGCAGCCCTTCCCGCCAGCCAGGTAGGCCCAGGGCACTGTAGACCTGGGCAGCCCTTCCTGGTTACCAAGTCCTGGCTGTGCGCCAAGCCCAAACATGACCTCGTTTCATGCCCAGGGAGAGTCCCTGATCCACAGACAAGGAAACTGAGGCTCAGAGAAGCAGAGTCATTTTCTCAAGGTCAAAGTAGAGGAGGGGGCTTTGAACAAGGGGGTCTAGCTCCCGAGCCCCATTCTTGTGCCCTTCCCCGGCAGGCGCGGGACCTTCTGGTGGAAGTGGGTGGGGACGGGCGAGGACATGGGGGTCCCCAGCCTGACACCGTCCCGCATGCTGCTGGGTAGTGCGTTGGGCAGCAGGTGGAAGCCGGAGGCTCAGAGGGTGGGCCAGCAGGCATGGCCCCGCACTCCTGGAGCTCACAGGCCAGTGGGGGCAGGAGCCACTCGCATCAGGCAGCACAGAGGCTTGGAGGGGATTTGGACTCGGGCTGCAGAGCGCCACTAGAGGCGTTCCGTCAGGGCAGGGTGCGGCCCACTTTCTGATTTGAAATCTCCCTTCAGCTGCATGTTGGGGAGCAGAAGCTGGGAGACTATGAAAGCCACAGGGGTGTGGACAGGGTCCAGGCAGAGGAGCAGGGCAGCCAGGACACGGAGGGACAGCCAGGGGAGGGGACTGAACAGCACAGACGCCCTGAAGGGAAGGAGCAGGGTGCTGCGATGTGCATGCAGGAGCAGACCTCTTGCTCTTTTTTATTGATTTCAGAGAGGAAGGGGGAGGGGGAGAGAGAGAAACATCAATGATGAGAGAGAAGCATTGATCAGCTGCCTCCTGCACGCCCCCTACTGGAAATCAAGCCTGCAACCTGGGCATGTGCCCTTAACCGGAATCGAACCCGGGACCCTTCAGTCCGCAGGTCAACGCTCTATGCACTGAGCCAAACCAGCCAGGGCTGGTTTACTTTTTTTAATTGAGGTGAAATGCACACATTCCCCTTTTAAAGTGCACAGTTCAATGGCATTTAGTATATTTACAGTGTTGTGTAACCATCACTATTTCTACTTCCCGAACATCCCCCTCACCCCTAAAGGAAACCCTGCACCCATTAGCAGTCACTCTCCCTTCTCCCTCCCCAGTCTGCTTTCTGCCTCTGGGTTTGCCTGTATGGGTATTTCATACAAACGGAGTCATGTAGCGTGTGTGCCCTTTAGTGTCCGGCTTCTTTCACTGAACATGTTTTCAAGGTCCGTCCCTGGTGTAAGATGCAGGCTGTGGTACTTTGTTCCTTTTTAAGACTGAATAATATTCTGTAGAATGGGTTTACCACAGTTTGTTTGTTGCTCACCTGCTGGTGAACACTGATTTAATTTTTATAAAGGCTCAACTGACATACAGAAAAGTGCACAAATCTTAGCGTCATATGTTTTTACCTGTTTACACCTGTGAGTTAGGCGCCTGCTTTAGGTGGGCGTGGGGGTGGGGAGACGAGTGGCATCTCCCTGAGGAGGAGACATTTAAGCTGAGACCTGAGGGGCAGTGAGACAGGAAGGGGGGGGGACCAGCCAATGCCCAGGCCCGTGGGGGGAGGACTGTTTGAGCTACAGAAGGAGGCCAGCAAGTGGGGCGCTGTTAGCAGCGGGTCACTCGGGAGCCGGGACAGCTCCGGAGCAGGGCCGGCCTCGGAGGGTGTGGTGCAGAGCCTGTGGCTTGTCCTGGGCAGGCAGGGCAGACGGCCCTGATGCTGGCAGTCAGCCACGGGCGCGCAGACGTGGTGAAAGCTCTGCTGGCCTGCGAGGCGGACGTCAACGTGCAGGACGATGACGGCTCCACGGCCCTCATGTGCGCCTGCGAGCACGGCCACAAGGAGATCACGGGACTGCTGCTGGCCGTGCCCAGCTGTGACATCGCGCTCACTGACCGCGTGAGTCAGCACTCAGGTGCCCCTCGGGGCGGGCGGGAGCTGGGTGCCGAGCGTCCTTAGAGCAGCCATGCTTTGCAGGACGGGAGCACGGCTTTGATGGTGGCCCTGGACGCAGGGCAGAGTGAAATCGCGTCCATGCTGTACTCCCGCCTGAACATCAAGTGCTCGGTGAGTCTCGGCCCGAGCAGGGTGTTGCGGGAGGAGGGTGCAGGGGAGCAGGGCGGGGCCTGGGAGGGGACAGATGTTTATGAAGAGCCGATGGTGGATGGGTCCTGAGCCAGGGACTTAGCAGTCATCTGCTTGTTGAACCTTCATGGTGCCCCATGAGGCCATGAGTCACCGAGAGCTGAGACTGCATGGTCATGGTTGACATCTCGGTATTTGAACCCAGACCTATCTGAACGCTCTTTAAATTATTTTAAAATATATTTTTATTGATTTCAGAGAGGAAGGGAGAAGGATAGAAACATCAATGATGAGAGAGAATCACTGACCGGCTGCCCCCTGCACGCCCCCTACCCAGACATGTGCCCTGACTGGGAATTAAACTGACCTTCTGATTCACAGGTCAATGCTCAACCACTGAGCCACACCGGCCAGGCCAAATGCATGTTCTTAATCACCATTCACTCATTTGAGAAATATTTACGGAGACCTGACTGTCTCTGGCCCTCCTCTAGGCCCTGGCAACCAGCACTGAACAAAACAGAAAAAACGTTTCTGCCCATCATAGAGCAGACATTCTAATAAAAGACAAAATAAAGCAAATTGGTGTAGCATAGCCAGGGGATGGTACGTGCTGGGAAGAAATATGAACCAGGATGTGAGGGACAGTGAGTGACGGAGGAGCTACCTGAGACCTTCATGAAACTGACACTTGAGCCAGCACCTGAGGACGTGAGGGAGCAAGTGTGTGGCTCTCCAGGCAGAAGGAACAGACAGTGCGAAGGCCTGAGGCTGGGGCTTTCCTGCGTGTGAGGGCGTCAAGGAGCCCCAGCGGGAAGAGAGGAGGGCAGGGAGGTGATGCCACAGATCACGCAGGGCCCGAGGGCCACCGTGGGGCTTTGGGTTTCACGGTGAGCGTGTCCGTGAGCAGAGGACTTGAGAAGTCTCACTGTAAAGAAACCCCATTTAACTGTGTTTAACCCAGCATTTCTCTTATGGACCACAGAAACCTGAGGTGTTTTTTTAAACTTGCCTAGCAAAACACTCTTCCAGAAGCACAATAGGGGGATAATACTGATACCAGCTGTGTCCTGGTGCCTGTGGAGGAAAAAGCCCTCTAGTCTGATGGGGGAGACAGTCCTTCCAGTCTGATGGGGGAGACAGTCCTTCCGGTCTGATGGGGGAGACAGGGCGGTCCCTGTAAGCCTCAAAGCGATTCTCCGTGTGGTGGAAGAGACAGTATACCGAGTGCCTACTGGGTGTGATTGCTTGAACCTTCCACAGTAACCTGATTCGTTTGCATAAAGTACTATTATTATTTTCTACCCAGTTTTTCCAGGTGGGGAGGTGGAGGCTTAGAATGGTTACATCCTTGGTTCAAGGTCTCACAGCCAGGAAGGGGCAGAGGCCCCGGGGTCCTTCTGACTCTAGACCTTGGGCAGGAGCCTCACTGCCCCCGCCCACCCCCACCTGCACTGGCCCCAGCTGCCCCGAAGTTAATCCGGGTTCGGGTTCAAGGGTAGCATCGTGGGTGTCAACCACGGCAATTCCCAGAAGGTCCGAGAGAGGGAGGTTGCAGACGTGCCGTCCGTCTCCACCTGGCTCCCAGGTTCTCCTGAGGCTTCGAGCTTTTCTGGCTCCAGGGCACCCACCCGGCCTCCGTGTGCTGCTCAGGGTCACCTGGGGATCCGCTTTGGAAGATGGGGGCGATGGGCTGGAGATGGCTCGCTGTCTGATCTGCGCTCCTGCCCCCAGGGACTCTGAGGCAGGAACCCCAATCCTCTCTGTCCACCTGGACCACTGCCACAGCCTCTGCCTCCCCCACCCTCACTGCCCCTCACTCTGCTCTCCCCACAGCAGCCAGAGGTCAGTGCGGACACCTGAGTCAGCACTCACAGCCCTCTCTGGCTCCCACCTCCATTGGAGAAAAAGCCAAAGTCATCCTCAAAGCCCATCAGCTCCACCGACCCCGACCCCGACCCAGACCCCGACCCCTCCCCGTCGCTCCCTGAGCTCCAGCCACACCAGCCTGACCCCTGATCCGCCTCAGGGCCTGGGCACTGGCTCTCTCTTCTGCCTGCAATGCCTCTCTGCCCCCTTGGCCGGCCCCTCCCCGACCACCCGCTGTTACAGTCATTCCCTTCCATCCCTCATCCCTGGTGAGACTCCTCCGCTGCGTTTATTTATTTGCTTCTCGGAGGCATCCCCCCGTCACATGGCCTCGAGGCCAAGGGATCCCAGCCTCTTGTTCACTCACCGCAGCCGCTGGGCCAGCCAGCAGAGCCGGCGCCGCGGAGGCAAGGATGCCAAACAAGGAATTGTGCTTCTCGTTTCAGTTTGCCCCGATGTCAGATGACGAAAGTCCTGCATCGTCCTCTGCAGAAGAGTAGCCATGAGGGGGGACCAGAGGCGCGTCCCGCTGAGGCCAGTCAGCCCCAGAGCGAACTGGCCCTCCTCCCTTGTTCCTCGTCCCGGTCTCCCCCCTGGCCAACCCCATCACACCCACCAAGGCCTCAGTCTCAAAGGCAAGTGGGTTTCTCCTGCTTCCCAGCAGTGACAAGACTCCAGCTTAACTGGGTTTTTCCCGTTCCCCAGTTCAAAGCAGCCACAGTGCAGACCGAAGCTACATTCTCGTAGGAATTGGCGCCAGTGGCTGATGCTGGCGTGGGTTTATGGAGAACACAGAACAATCGACTGGCAGTGATGGATGGAGGCGGGCGAGAGGGAAACGTATTGTATTTTGGAATCACCATCGGGGAAGGGGGGGAATCATATTACTTGTTGCCAAATCTGAAAGTCACTGGAAATGCATATTTTCATTTTAATCTTGAGTGTTATTACTCACGGGTGGTGTCTGGAGTGGCTTAACTCCCCCTGGCCCCCCACATTTAATTGTCAGGTATGTAATAGTGTTTTGTCCACTCTCCCCGAGACAGCTTTCTTGGGGGAATTTTGGTCTCTTCACAAAACGGATTCTGTCCCTGCCACCTGGAGTAGGAAAGTTAGCCCTTTCTTCTGCTTTCTGCCAGCGTCGACCCCGTTCAGGTCGAGGGGAGCCCCAGGACACAGCAGCCGAGAGGTGTGAGCAGTTCATATCAAGAAATTACCCCGACCGCCGGCCCCTCCCCACGTGGAGGCCTCAGCAAATATTAATTTTCCTAGAAAATCCTTCAGACCCGGAGACACAGGAAATGAGTCCTGTTCCCAGAGTGGCTGCTGAGTCCCCGGGCTTCGAACCCAGGTTACGGGCCATCCAGGTCCTCCTCAGGCTCCAGAATTTCTCTCTTCAAAGGAAAGAAAACAGGCCATGTGTGTGTTGGCAGCGCCTGGGGCCGGCTCCAGGAACCCCATGTGTGCACAATTAAAAATTGGCTGCCCCCAGAGGGCTCCCAGCGCAAACTTAAAGAGGCAGGGCCTTGCCGAAAACCAAACAAGGGCCAGCTGGGGTTTTTTTGTGTGTTTTTTTTAACCTACAGGCTTTCCGGAGCTGCCTGGAGCAGAGCCTGCTGGACGTGGGGCTCGCCAGACTCTCACAGTTTCCTTAATGGCCTGTTTTGTTCCCAGGATCTCAACAGCGTTTTCTTTCCTTTTCCTTCCTTCTGTGAACCAAAAAAAGAAAAGGGATAGGCCTGAGCCTCCGAAAGTGCCTCTGCGGCCGGGGAGCGAGACCCCGGGCTAATAGGTGTCCTGCCTTCCGGCCAGTTGGCGGCCCCACTGCCAGGGTCGGAGCCAGGCCACGGAGGATGGAGCGGGCCGGGCCCTGAGTGCCCACGTGTCCATTCAGTAAAGCGGAACGCTGGCTTCTCTCCTACAGAAGTGGGTTTCTTGGCTTGATGGAGTCTGGCTTGCTTTGATTTTGAAGGGATCAAAATCTTTTTTATTTTGTACCTAAGACAAAAGAGCTTGCTTGCATGGTCAAAGGAGGGAGGCACCCCGGGGAGAGAGAGAGGGAGAGAGAGAGTGTGTGTGTAAGTTGGAGAGAAAAAACCAAAGCTGCTGGAGGATGCCCAGGGTATTTGATGGAAGGCTGCAGCTCTGAGCAGCGGTGCCGTGTTGTGTGCTGTGTGTCCTGGCCCGGAGCCAGCGGTGCGTTTATTTTAAGCTCCTACAAGCAGCTCACTGACACCGTATTTGCCCCTGTTCCCCTCTCCCCTGGTGCCCATTGGCTTGGCACGGAGGCTACAGGGGGTCCTGCCTTTGTCCCCATTCTCTTCTCACATGTATTCATGACCTTAAACTTTCCAACCACGGTACGTCCATAAAGACAGTATTACGCTTAAATGAAGTATTCTTTTTGTAATCATTTTTTAGATGGTAAAGAAATTTAATAAAGCTACTTTATGATAACGCCCATATCTGTGTCTGATCGTTGTCTCGGTGTGTGCCTCTTTAAGTTTTAAAATAGATACTTTTTAGCCCTAGCTGGTTGGCTCAGTGGATAGAGCGTCGGCCTGCGGACTGAAGGGTCGCAGGTTCAATTCCAGTCAAGGGCATATGCCTGGGTTGCGGGCCCCTACCCCAGTAGGGGGCATGCAGGAGGCAGCCAATCAATGATTCCCTCTCATCATTGATGTTTCTATCTCTCTCCCTCTCCCTTCCTCTCTGAAATCAATTTTAAAAAAATTATAATTTACTTATTTTGAACAATGTTCAAAGCTACAGAAAAGTGACAAGACTATTATAATAAACTCCCTTATGCTCTGTCCTATACTGTAGCCACTAGCTACACGTGGCTGTTTCCAGCTAAATATGAATTAGTTATCATTAACTTGTGCCCGGTGGCTATTATATTGGCCTCCAGAGGTAGAAAACATTGCCATTGTGGCAAAAAGTTCTAACAAAGACGCACAGTGAAGACCTCAAACAAAATCCTTACAGATTGCGTTTCCTCGTGACAGAATAATAGTTCATAGCAATTGTAAAAGGCAACATTCAAACAATACAGAAGTGTGTGGCATAGTGGAGGGTGCCGTGGTCCACTTAGTGTGAACACCTGCCGTGTCAACAGTTCGGAGTATCTCCTACCAAACCCTTTTTCTAAAATGATTTGCTGTTTTATTTTTTGAGATGCAACATACATACATGTTGTGCACCAGTCTGCTAGGGCTGCCGAAGGAGGAAGCACGAGGCCAAAGTGGTGAGGAATTATAAATGTATTAGGTCACCTGGAAACCCAGATGCGCTGAGCCCCCACATGGCACCAGCGCCCAGGGACAAGGAATCGGAGATCTTAAAGGGCTCTAGGCGGGCTTTTTCTGGGAGGGTCTTAGCAAATGGGATGTCGGCTGTGAAGTGGCCTAAAGGTCACTTCCCAGGGGAGGGGGTGTCGATTCAGTTACTTGATCAGACCTGACGAAGTCATGCACAAAGCACATGGCTCCCTGGCTTTTCGCAAACCGAACACCCTCGCATCACCAGCACCAGGACAGGAAGTGGGGCAGCCTGGGCCCTTCCTCCAACCCCGACCCTTCCTCTCCCTCCCTCCAAAGGTGATTGATGGTTGCGCTCCTGACTTCTCACTTCCTCTGTTTTACCTCCGGATTGCTCAACCAGGAGATAATGGGTGGGTTTCAGAGGTTTTAGGAAGTCCCAGGAATTTTATGCAGAGTCGTGTATTTCTGAGGGGAAGGTCCACTGCGCTTGTCAGTTTTTCAGGGGGGTTTGTGAGCCAAGAGGGGCCTTTGGAACACTTTTTAAAAAATTGTTTCTCTTGCCCTGGCTGGTTTGGCTCAGTGGATAGAGCAGCAGCCTGCGGACTGAAGGGTCCCAAGTTCTATTCCGGTCAAGGGCACATGCCCGGTTGCAGGCTCAATCCCCAGTAGGGGGCGTGCAGGAGGCAGCCGATCAATGATTCTCTTTCATCATTAATGTTTCTATTTCTCCTCCCTTCCTCTCTGAAATCAATAAAAATAATTTATAGCCGAAACCGGTTTGGCTCAGTGGATAGAGCGTCGGCCTGCGGACTGAAGGGTCCCCGGTTCGATTCCGGTCAAGGGCATGTACCTGGGTTGCGGGCACATCCCCAGGGGGTGTGCAGGAGGCAGCTGATCGATGTTTCTCTCTCATCAATGTTTCTGACTCTCTATCTCTCTCCCTTCCTCTCTGTAAGAAATCAATAAAATATATTTTTTAAAAAATAATAATTTATAAAAATAAATAAAATAAAAATTAAAAAAGATTGCCCTAGTTGTTTTAAAAAAGATTGTTTCTCACGAGTAATGGCCCAGGACCGTTTTGTCCTCTTCGCTAGCTAATCTTGTTCGGCTAATGCTTAAGAACCCATCCCCACCACCACCCAGTTTCTTGCTTTCATTTTTTAAAAATATTTTTTTATTGAGTTTAGGAAGGAAGAGGGAGAGGGAGAGAAACATCAATGATGAGAGAGAATCATTGATTGGCTGCCTCCGCCCCACACTGGGGATCACGCCCACAACCCAAGCGGCATGTGCCCTGACGGGGAATAGAACCACGACCTCCTGGTTCATAACTTGATAACCGCTGAGCCATGCCCGCCAAGCTAATTTTTTTAATACATGATTAAAATGATTTTTTTGGTTAATCCTTACCTGAGTATATTTTTCCATTGATTTTTTTAGAGAGAGTGGAAGGGAGGTGGGAAGAGAGAGAGAGAAACATCGATGGGAGGGAGACACATTGGCCCACTCCCAAACATGCCCTGACCAGGGCCTGGGAATGAACCTGCAGTCCAGGTACAAGCCTTTGACCGGGAAATCAAACCCACAGCCCTTGGGTGCCCAGGTGGATGCTCCAACCACTGAGCCACACCAGCCAGGGCAATATATGATTTTTTCCCTGCAATATATGATTTTTAAATATGTTTTTATTGATTTAAGGGAGAGAGAGAGAGGGGTAGAAACCACCCAGTTTCTTGCTTTATTTGATGAGAGAGAATCATTGATCAGCTACCTCCTGCACACCCTCTACTGGGGATCGAGCTTGCCGCCAGGGCATGTGCCATGACCTCCTGGTTCATGGGTCGGCACTAAACCACTGAGCCACACTGGCTGGGCTAAGCCATTTTTAAGTTTCAGGCAAGTACATTCACATTGTTGTGCAGCCATCACTACCACCCATTTCCAGGACTCTTTATCTTCCTAAAATGAAACTCTGTCCCCATTAAACATTAACTCATCACCCCCCACCCCCAGGCACCATTCTTTCTGTCTCTATGAATTTGCCTGCTCTAGGGACCTCACATCAGTGGAACCATACAGGATTTGTCCTCTGTGTCTGGCTTATTTCACTTAGCATAATATCCTTAAGATCCATCCGTGTTGTAGCATATGGCAGAATGCCCTTCCCTTTTTCAGACTGAATAATATGTCATAGTATATACATACTACACCTTGTTTATTCATTCATCCAACAATAGACACCTGATGGCTTCTACTTGTTGGCTACTGTCAGTGATGCTGGTGTACAAATGCAGGCGCAGGGTAGGTGTTAGACTGGGAGGGTCGGACCAGACCTGGGTTGAGCGACCTAGCCACGGAAAGATTTCAGAGCGAGGCTCGCACCATAGGAGAACATTTATTTGGAAATTCACAGAGGTAGAAGCAACTCCTAGATGAAACGGGCTTAGGAAGCAAGTTATAGAGGGGAAAGGAGGAGCCTTGGGACTTGGGAGTGAGGAAGCTAATGGGAACGTGCCTGGGGGAGGCAGAAAGGAAGGGGAAAGCGAAAAAACAAATAGCATGGGCAAGCTCCTAGGAGGAGAGTGAGCTGTAGCCTCAGTCCTGAGGGTTTTGAGGGTGAAGATGTTAGGGGAGCTGCCAGGGGAAGATCTTAATAGAATGTTCATCAGCTTTCCAGTCTGTCCTTGCAGGTCAAGGTCTCCACGGATTCACTCTCCAATGCAGTTGGTCCTGCAGCCAGCCATGGGGTCGCTGGTCTGGTTTTGCTGCTTTTCTGGGCCTGGAGCTGAACTACAACTGAGGCCTAGATGTAATCTGTAGGCAGGAGATGTTATCCAAGGTGGGGGGAAGAGGGGCAGGTCCAAACCACCAGGGGACCCTTGCTGTGCTAGGGGAGGAAATGTCACCGGGTGGGAGCCCACCTGACACCTGCTGGGCACCTAGGGCTTTCCGTCCTGGTGACCTTCTGTGTTCTGTGCCTGGCCCATCGTCCTTGCTCTGCTCCTGTCTACCTGCCTACCACACAAATATCTTCAAGTTCCAGCTTTCAGTTTGGGGGGTATATACTTAGAAGTGAAACTGCTAGGTCACATGGTAATTCTTTGTAATGGGGTTGGGGGGGCTGCGATATTGTGTGTGTTTTTATTTATTTAAATTCTTTATTGTTGTATATTGTTTTCCATAGTGGCTGCACCATTTTACATTCCCACCAACAATGACAAGGGTTCCGACTTCTTCACATCCCTGCCAACACTTATTTTCCTTTGTTTTGTTTTTCATCCTCACAGGAGGATACATTTATTGATTTTAGAGAGAGGAAGGGAGGGAGGGAGAGAGAGAGGGGGGGAGAGAGAGAGAGAGAGGAGAGAGAGAGAGAGAGAGAGAGAGAGAGAGAGAGAGAGAGAGAGAAATGTGAAAGAGACACATCAACTGGCTGCCTCTCACACACACCCCAACTGGGGTCGAACCTGTAACCTATGTGCCCTGACCCGGAATCGAACCCATGACCTTTTGGTGTAGGGGGATGGTGCTCCACCAACTGAGCCACACTGGCCAGGGCTGGCTTGCTTTTTTTTTAATAGTAGCCATGCTACTGGCTATGAAGTGGTTCTAACTTTGCTTTTTGGAGGAGAGGTGAGTGGCCTTTTTGACCAGAGCATTTATATCTGTCAGGCTATGGTTGTGCAATTTCAAATGGCTTTTATCTCTTGAACACCCCCTATTCCCCAACCCCCCCCCCCCCCCCCCCCCCCCCCCCCCCCCCGCTGATAAGAGAGCTATCATTAGCCCGTGGCTTAGAAAGGTTAAGAACTTGCCAAGGTCACAGGTAAACTGCAGAGCCAGAAACCAAATCCCAGGCCTTATCTCCTCATTATTTCATTCTGCCTTGTTAAGTAATCCACCCCACTGCCTTCAGGCACAGAAGGTGAGCTCCTGCCTCCAAAGGTCACGCAGCTGATGGTGACAGAGCCATGTCATCATCCACTGCTCAGCCACCAGGAGGGTGAGCAGCACTGGCCTTGAGTGCTGACTCTGGGGACCAGGCTCCATGCCAGACACCAGACACCAATATTTCTGCAGGAAATAACTCAGGTGCCGCGGCGTCTTTTACAGGTGTTCCTGCTGATGGTTAGAAAGGAAGGGAGAAGTAGAGAGAAACATCGATGTGAGAGTGGAGTATCAATTGCGCTGCCTCCTGA